TTTATTATTGCCATTTGTCAGATAAATGTCTTGTTTCATAATTAGTAAGATTTTGCTAAAGATAAATTACACTCAAAAATTTTGAATATAGAAAAAATAATCCATAGGAAGATAAACTATGCCTGTCGTAATTTTCTACGTTATTATATTAGCATATCCTTGACAGTAAAAGAAAAAAAAATGTTTTCTTTTTGTTTTGATTTTCAATGAGTAGAAAATTATATTTTGTACTGGTAGCACCAAAATATCTAAATGAGTATATAATTCTCATAATATGGCGCCGCCGTATAAATTATTGTTGTTCATGATTGTTTGTTATGTTTGTTTTGCTTGTGTCTTTTTCTAAGATTTTGCAAGTTTACGATGTTGAGTTGAGATTAATGTCCTTCGTTATGCGTTAATATGATGTGCAATGTGTTAGTCAATGATTCGTAGTGAAATACGAAATAGTGACTCTAAAAACTACTCTGCAATGGCGGATAAAGAAAATAGAAAAAGTGTTCTAAGTGCAACAGCTTACCAACCATTGACAACATTAAATTATTTAGGTTTTCGAAACCCGCAGTAAAGTATATTTTGCGGTACGTATACAATATACATATACACTATTTAATAAGTTCTAACCTTAAAGTAAATCTCTTGTCCAACTTATTGTTTCTCTTTAACCATTTAAAAACAAATTATTGGTTTGTAAACCATTGGACCTACTTTGTTAATATTTGTATTTAATAATTATATCTTTTGTTTTCAGCTGTAAATTGTGGGCGAAATATTATATTCCTTCCCAAGTGCACTATACTACTTTAGCTTTCCAGATAAAGCTACATAATAAGCCCAGAATGCTGTGTGAAAAACATTTTCACGATGGTTAATTTAATGATGCAACCAATAAAAAGCTCTTGAGAACTGCAGTGCCATGTGATGTAAGTAAAGTGTATAATGTATATGATAATATGGTATGTATATAGTTTTCTTTAAGGATTACTCAGATATTTTATATGGGGATTTTTTTTCACGAGTGGACTTTGATAGACTGTAATGAAGATGATGATGAATATTCATATGACCATCATCTGGATCTAACATGGATGGACAGACCACATACAGTAGTTTGAATCCTGTTAATGCTTTCAACTAATTTATAATAATTGGATCGGACAAAGCATCCAAAGGATTGAAGTCTATAAAGTTAGCACAAGCCCTTCCTTACATTATTAAAAGTGCAACACACTGCATATTATTTTTAACAATCAAATTTTTTTAAACAACAACAAACCTTAAAAAAGGTTAGGCGTCACAATCTAAATTACATTTCTTCCTAAACCTATCAAATTTAAAGGCACAACTTGTACAACACAGTAGAAATATATGCATCAAATGGTTCTTAAACAATAGATAAACACAAGACTTATTTTCACATAGTTATTGTATTTACTATCTTATTTTGTTATATTAATTGTAATAGTGGGTGTATTATAGAGCAAGTTGGATGAACAAGATCCATTCATTTATTTTTTATTGGTAGAAGGGTAATGTAGTGCCATGAGCAGGGACTGGTTTACTATGAAAGTAATGTCAATGAATATGATGTTAATTTAATTTTATATAATAATTTTATGATACTATAATTTATTTCAGTTTTTATTTATTTCCAGGCTAACAAAGTGTATTCCCATTTTATTTTGTGGAATCACAAGCTGGTCCCTCGCAAATTATTGCTGCAAAACCACAAACAGGATCTTCAAAAGGGACAACATTATAATGTTGAACCTGAAAAAGAAAGTACTCTATATGAAAATTTTTAAAATGAAATAACGAATATTTTTGTAATCTAATATTTAATATGTTTTATAATTTTGAATTAAAATTATTATATTTATAAGCTGCATTCAATACTTAATATATTGCATATAATATAGAGATAAAAATTTTAGTTTCAATTCAGGGAAATAGATAGACAACCAAATATTATCAAAACAAAATTATTATTTGTGAATGTTGCACTTTGCACTTGTGTGTAGGATCTTATTTATTAATTAAAGTCGTCGTCGTCGTCGGTCGTCGCTGCTGGTGATAAGAGAGCTGGTTCTTGTAGTTCGACATAAAAAATCTAAAATAATTCATCATATAAAATATTTTCTGTTGTTGATATAATCAAAAATTACCCATTATTAGGGTTCATTTCAATAAAATACCATAGGTTAACTTAAACCAATTGGCAACTTTCCGTTATATCGTTGAATTACATTTTTATAAAGCTTTTAAAAAATAAATTTTAGTAGAATGCACAAAATTACTTTACCTTTATAATAAAAGAGAAATAGACCGAATGATGTAAAAAATCTGTACATGAACGAATTCCTTATTCTAATGTTTGTTCCACATACTTCATCTTTGAGTCGCTTATCATTGACCTCTCTTCTGTAAGGTAACTTTGAGAGAGGACACTACAGGATTTATTTAAGAAATGAGTTAGGAATAAGATAAGACGGAATGTTGCGATTTTCAATTCCGCTCTTTGAGCATGTTATAGTAGTAACAGTGTAGTATTAGCTGCTGCTCTGCATAAATTGATAAAATAGGTGATTATATATTGACACAAAATGTTATATCAGTTCAAGTTCTTTAATGCTAGTAAAAGAATTTTCTTATAAACTGAAGTGACAGACGAAGTTACAGTCCATGTGACGGTAAGTGATTACTGCAGTCCATGGACGCGTGAAACCAACTTCAAACAAGAAAAACTGCAGATACATTGAATGTGTCACGGCATGTCATTGTACTGACTCTGCACACGATCCAGACAGAAACATAGCATTACCGGTACTGCCAATTAGAGACAGAAATAGGCAGGAGAGAGACCACCTTTTAAACAGAAAGGAGGTACCACCACAATATTTATTAATATACAAATTCGTTTCAATTTAGATAACGTATAAAAAATATGTTCATTATAATATTACCTTTAGTAAATTGAGCTTATTTATACAGAAAAATAAGCTGAGGCCTCATTAAAATACCCTCGTTATTCCCTTCCAGCCAACGAACATATTTTATATTACCTGCTCTGCAACATTTCTGCGGGTTTTAAATAATTTTCGAAATAAAACCTCTGAATAATTAATGCCATTCCTAACTTATGTTTTACGACGCCAGCAAAATATTTTAATTAGTCTGTCCGAATCCACAGAACCCCAAACCTAAAGTGTGAAGGCTAGAATTGTGTTATGCAAGTACGCGTCCTCCATACATAAAACATAATTTTTATTCAGCGGAATGACTTTTATCTAATGAGTAAGTAAACTTTTTGAAGTGTTTAAGATTAAGTTAAACAAAATAAATTAAAAGCTGTTCCTACTCGTCAGTCTATTACGAAATTTATTATTATTGTTTAATACCTTAATACACTGTGGTAACTGTTTTTACTCGGTGGTAGCGCCACATTGCTTTTACTTATTTCTGCCATCAAATAACACTGCCCACGCTGATGTGCTTCCGTCTTAAGGATATATAGAGCCAAAAGGCTGTGAGGGTATTCCATCAGATGGACAATAAATTCATTTGTCATTTAATTTTTATAAGAAATACTTTCGGTTATAACTTGCGTCACCGTATAGTGGCGGTGTTAGAATATCCATTATCTCATATCTTCGTCCCTTGGATGATGCAAGAGGCGATAGAGGGAAAATAAAACAGGAGATTTGATTTCAGGGTTTTCATTTTTATAAGCGAAACCATAATTAATTTTAAAAGTAAGAGTAGCCTATGTTACTGCTTACAACATCAGCTACCTGCCTGTAAGAGTCCTGTAAAATTGGTACAGACATTTCTTAGATTAGCCGTTATAAATAGACAAACAAACAGACAGACGGACAGGCAAACAAAAATTTTAAAACTTGCCTTTTTGTTACAAGTACCATAAGTATATTCTTTGCCGTAGGTATATAATTTCAAACGCATTTAGTAAAAAGCTGTTGTTTAGACGTTACAAACAGACACTTTAATTTTATAAAACTGTTTAACTTTAGAGATAAATTGTGTTTTAAGTTCGAAACATTGAAAAGTTGTCAAAAATTTAGTTAGTAAAAATTTATTTGTTTGCTTTTTATAAATAAAAATAAAAGTTATGCTTAATATCGTTCCAAGTTACACCTCGTTGAATTTTTAATGACATAAAGTGAAATTCGGTGCGGTGTGCGCTAATTCGTAATTACTGATAAGTATTAAGCAATTGGAGTACTTTCTGAAGTATCTTTCTAAATTGGCGGTAATTTACCCCCAATTTAGAAAATTAATGTCATACAAACTCATATCAAGTAATAAATGATGTACGTGTGTCGCGGGTTGACGTGTTGTTATATCGCTTTCTATAATTTAAAGTTTTTTAATTGTAAAAGACATTTCATAAGTGATTGGTGTTAACGAATACATAAATATACGGTCTACAAAGCTGTTATGTTTACATCTGCTACAGTATATCGTTATAGCGTGGTATTTAAAATTAAAGTGATGCAAGGTGTGTTTTTAGTAATGAAGGTACTTATAGAATTATAAACTTACATGACCTCCACAAGAATAAAATTAAAATATAAACAAAGTGAACACTAGTTTCAACGTATAAAAATTAAGTACGCTAGTCCTGTGGTTCTAGTGCTTGATACGCTACGTCCGAGAAAGCTGGTTCAAGCCACAACAAGTTGCACTTTTTGTGTATTTTTAATAGATTAGTAACCTTTCGTAATAAATACATTATTCTGCGGGGATCGTACATAGTGCAGAAAGGAGCTAAAATTTAATGGAATAAATACATTCATCATACGAATAGAAAATTGCAATGTTTTATATACATACTTGCGTATTGCCATATATATATACAAAAAAAATTGCAAGATTTTGGGGATGGGGATGTTGTAATATTGAGACAGGAGAGAATGAGGAGATTATTGATGGTATGGATAATAAATCATTTCATTTAGCCTGTCTGTCCATACCGGGGATCAATGAAACTAAAGTGTTATCAAATTGGAATTGCCCCCCAATGTACAAACAATGCTCCCAGATGTTCAAAACAAGATTCAACTCCATTGCGTAACATCAATACCGGCAGAGGCACTAAAAGACCTGCATTAAATTCACCGCCAAATACGACGGCTTTAAATGGCGCAGATGTAAAAATTATTGTTCAAGATGTTATAAGAACCAAATTAAGTGGTACGAGTATACTAAAGGAAATTAATAATAGTTTAATGGAAATTATTAACAAAGAACTTAAACCTATCAAAAAAGAGATGAAAGAAATTAATGAGTCCATGAATTTCATAAATAACAGGTTTGAGGATATTGAGAAAGAACAGGCAGAAGCTAAGAAAACTAGTAAGGAATTATTTGAAGATAACCTTAAAATGAAAAGTATTGTATCGGAACTTAAAATGCGACTTATTTCCACGGAACAACGTGTTAATATAACAGAGCAATATTTGCGCACAAATAATCTAGAACTTCATTGTGTGCCAGAAAGTTGAAATAAAAACTTGATTAGTATTATACAAAATTTGGGAACTGTTGTAGGATATACTGTCAAAGAAAACGATATTATACACTGCACTCGCACAGCTAAAATTAGTCCTGCTACCAAACGCCCTCGTTCTATTGTTGTACAACCATCTTCTCAATTTTTACGTGATCAATTTATAGCCTCTATTAATAATCTAGTCTCTATTAGTATATAATAATAATCATCTTGACAAATTAAACAGTTCTCACCTAGGGCTTTCGCGTACCAAGACAGCGATTTATGTTGTTGAGCATTTATCGCCTTCCAATAAAGCACTTCCTGCTGCTACCAGAATCAAGACTAAGGAAAAAGGGTTCAAATATGTTTGGATCAGGGGTGGTAAAATATACGTTAGAAAAGATGAAGAATCACAATACATAGTTATTAAAGATTTAGGAACACTAAACAAATTGATGTAATATTTAAAATAAATATATTAGAATAATTTGTGCATGTACTCGGAAAACCTTACTGTAAAATTCAATAGCTTAAAAATATATTTTCAAAATTATAGAGGCCTTCGATCTAAAACAAAAGAATTTTATTGCAATGTTTGTTGTAGTAATTATGATATTATAGTATTAGTAGAAACCTGGTTAAATGGCTCAGTGCTGAATGGTGAACTTTTTGATAACCGGTGTGATTCTACAGAAGAGACAGGGAAAACTCTACCTACTACAGTGGTAAGGATGCAGGTGGAGTATTGATATCAGTATCAAAAAAAATTAAATCTAATCGTGTCGCCTGCTGGGAAAGCAAATGTGAAGACCTATGGGTTAATATTGAAGCTCCAGTAACCAAGACTATACCTCAGATAGCACTGTGTGTTGTTTATATACCACCACCAGTAAGTAGAATAAAAATCAACTGTTTTGTATCCCATTGTAACGCTGTATTTGAGGAAATAAAGTCATCTGTATGCATACTAGGTGACTTTAACTTAGGTAACATAAATTGGGGCATGTTACAAAATGCAAGCACAATTCATGCATCTTTACCAGCCATGAGTCGGGATTTAATTGAGTTCTTACACATTAATATACTTACTCAATGTAATCACTGGTCGTATATTGGACCTTGTACTTACATCCTTTAATTTGTGTGAAGTAACCCAAGCAGTAACGCCCTTAAGTAATCATCATCATCATCATCATTACAGCCCTTCACAAGTCCACTGCTGAACATAGGCCTCCCCCAAGTAACGCCACAAAGCACGGTCCTGAACCACCTGCATCCATCGACTTCCTGCATGTCTTACCAGGTCGTCACTCCATCTAGTGGGGGTCGCCCTACACTACGCCTAGCGGTACGAGGCTGCCACTCGAGAACCTTTCTTCCCCATCGGTTATCGGTTCTTCGAGCTATATGGCCGGCCCATTGCCACTTCAGCTTACTAATCCGTTGGGCTATGTCGGTCACTCTGGTTTTAGTGCGGATATCCTCATTTCTGAGTCTATCACGCAGAGAAACTCCGAGCATAGCCCTCTCCATAGCTCGCTGAGCGACCTTGAGCGACCTCATACGGCCAGCGGTGAAGGACCACGTCTCAGATCCGTAAGTCATCACTGGCAACACGCACTGGTTATGCACTTTAGTTTTCAGTTTAGCCCAGCCGAGTTGAATCCGTCGATTGACCACTCGGTCGAAGTTGGACTTACCTAGTCGGACTATTTGTCCCAGGTAAACGTACTCGTCAACAACTTCGAGCATAGTGCTCCCAACAACTACCGGCATAGGTGTGACATGGACATTAAACATGATCATTGTTTTGTCCACGTTCATCTTAAGACCTATCCATTGGGAGACACCATTGAGGTCATTGAGCATAATGCTAAGGTCCTCCAGCGATTCTGCCATAAGTACTATATCGTCGGCAAATCGAAGGTGAGTGATGTACTCGCCATTGATGTTAATACCGTATCCTTTCCAGTCCAGTTGCTTGAAAACGTCTTCCAACGCAGCGGTGAAGAGTTTCGGGGATATAACATCACCCTGTCTTACACCTCTCTGCAGTTGGATAGGTTTCGTACTCTGGTTCTGTACTCGGATAGCCATCGTAGCCCTACTGTAAAAACACTTCAGCACTTCAATATACCGACAGTCAACTAGGCACCGCTGAAGAGACTGTAGCACCGCCCAAATTTCGACGGAATCAAAGGCTTTCTCATAGTCCACATACGCCAGGCAAAGTGGCAGATTGTACTCTTCGGACTTCTGTACAATTTGCCGAAGGGTATGTATGTGGTCTATGGTACTGAACCCTTTTCGGAAACCGGTTTGTTCGGGAGGCTGGAAGTCGTCGAGTCTGCGTGCGAGACGATTCGTAATGATTCCCGAAAACAGCACGTAGACGCGGCTCAGAAGGGAAATCGGTCTGTAGTTCTTCAAGAGAGCGTTGTCACCTTTCTTAAAGAAAAAGACCACCGTGCTTCTGCTCCGGAGTAGTGCCACCATGGAGGACGGAATTGAAGAGCTTCTGAAGGACTTCAAGTACCGGTGTTCCACCCGCTTTCAGAAGCTCCGCTGTAATTCCATCTCTCGCCCGGGGCCTTGCCGTTTTTAAGGTGGTGGAGAGCCATTCTAATCTCGCTCAGATTTACGTCCGGGATGTCATCGTAATAGTGTCGTATAAGACTTGCTCTTGGATCGTTACTCACACTTGCGTGTGGCTCCAACGACGATGTGTACAGCTGCCCATAGAACCTCTCAATCTCACTCAGAATCTCAGGTGTCCCGGAAACGATGTTGCCACACTCAGTCTTCAGCCTTGACAGTTGGCTCTTTCTGGCAGACAGATCTCTGGCAAAGACTTTGGAACCCTGGTTCCGCTCGATCGCTTCTTTAATACGAGCAGTATTAAAGTTGCGTAAGTCTTGCCGCATGCATTTGGAGATCTTTCTGTTCAGTTGCCTGTATGCTGTCAAATCTGTTGACGATTGCAGCCTCATCTCCCGTCTAACAGCCATGAGATTAAGAGTGTGATCGGAGAGTTTTTGTGTTCTTCTGCGGCGGGTCTTGCACAACTTAGCTCCGACCGCATGGACAGTTTCCACGAGCTTGTCATTCATATCGTCCACTGCATTGCAATCGTCTAGGCACTGAAAGCGGTTTTGTAACTCGAGCTGAAAGGTTTCGGGATTCTGGATTAGAGCACGAGGGGGACGGAGCGTTGACTTCATTAGACGAGACCTCTCCAAATTAACATTTAGGTTCAGTGTGCCTCTAACCATTTGGTGATCGCTGCCAGTTTTCAACCTTGCGATCACTGAGACATCTCTGAACAGTTGGCGTCTGGTCGTCATAATGAAGTCAATCTCATTTTTTGTCGAACCCTCGGGGGCTTGACCAGGTCCACTTCCTGTGGGGCCGCTTCTGGAAGAAAGAGTTCATCATAAAGAGTCCCTCTTTCTCCATAAAGTCGGCCAGCTGCTGGCCCCCTTCGGTTCCGTTGCCCTACTCCAAATTTCCCCACCTTCAGCTCACCGCTTTCTCTTGTGCCTAGTTTTGCGTTGAAGTCTCCCCATTAACACCGTGTAGTGGGTTTTGGAGGAATGCATGGCTCTGGAAATATCCTCATACATTTCCTCCACCTCCTCATCGGGATGTGCCGAGGTTTTGGTGATTCTGCGTATCAGGTACGCGACCCTCGTCGACACACTCCCAATCTTTACAACGTTGTTGACGAGAGACTTGTGGACGATAAATCTGACACCTCCTTGGGACAGATGGTCGCCCTCCCGGTGGTAGAACAAGTTGCCGGACTCGAGGATTGCCGTATCCTCCCCCTCTCTTCGGACCCCGGATAATCCAATAATATGCCAGCGCAACTTGTCTACCTCTTCTTCCAGCTCCAGTATCTTCTCGTCAGTCCTCAGAGTGCGTGCGTTATATGTTGCCAGGTCGAGTCGTCGTAGGTGGCAACCGAACCTCCACCGGAGATTCTTAGCACCCCCTGCCCCGCCGTTACCATGGTCGCCACTGTAGTCAGGAATAGCGGGGCCGCCGGGGACTGGGGGCCGTTTTTTTGCGTCGTTATTCATGGGGGGATATTTGCCATAGTTGCCACGCTTGGCGAGCGGGTTGGCAACCGCAGTTTTTTATTATAACACAGTTGTTATCAGAAAGATGCTGCTGCCCATCTCCTGCCTGTCTCCCTCTGTCGCCTCTTACGACACCCACGGGAAGATATGGGGTAGTGGATGTTCTCAACCGCCACTACACGGCATGTAATGCCTTAAGTAATACTGAACATATATACCCTCCTATAGATACCACTATATCATTATCGATGGAAAAATGTCTTCCTTACAGTTTAAAAAATAAAAAGCGTAATTTTTATAAAGCAGATTATGGTCTCATAAGAAAGCATTTGAATGAGGTTAATTGGATTGACATGTTTAGTAGATTATATGATGTCAACGACACGGTTAAAGCATTTTATGAGGTTTTGTATACACTTATTGAGGATCATATCCCGATGAGCAAGAGAAGAAACAAACGTTATCCTGTTTGATTCAATAAAACTTTTATAAAATCATTAAATGAGAAAAATAAAACAAGAAATAGGTATAAAATACATGGTAATCCTAGGGGTGAAATTGAGTGAAAGTTACTAAGTAAAATATGTCAGCAACTCGCCGCAAAGTGTTATAAAAATTATATAGAAAAAACAGAACAGCAAATACAAAATAATCCAAAATTATTTTGGTCTCATGTCAAAGGAAAGCGCGGTGGTACTAGTTGATACCCCATCGCTATGACAAATGGTCAGGAAACTACTTCTGATGGATTTAAAATATGTGAACTCTTTGCAAAATCTCTTCTGTTAATTTACAATGCAAACGGAGATAGACAGTTTTGTATCCATGATTTCGATAATTTGAAATTATTATAGAGTAATAGCCAATGTTTGACAAGCCCGGCTTTAGACTACAAAACTTTATTAAATAAGCTAGAAAGAGTGGATTG